TTCCGGGCATCTCAGCCATCTCTCCCTCCCCGGCTCTGCTCAGCTACTGTGTCCTCCAGCCATCCACCGCCTCCTCCAGTTTTCCCAGAGCATTATTTGGTTCTCTCCTTCAGCCCCCCCTCTTCCATCTTGTGTCCATTTCTCTGTGTGCCCCTCTTATCTTCCCTATTAGACTGGAAGCTCCTTGAGGGCAGGATTTGGCTTTTAAAAAAATAGAAACTTCTTCATCTTTGTAACTGAGCACACAGGAGGTGCTTAATGTCTGCTGGACCACTTGGGTCCCTTTTGGCACTTCACCTGCCTCTCTACTTTGAGGCTCTCCAAGGGCAGGGGTGGCATCAGGTCAACTCACACCTTCCCAGGCACCAGAGTCCTCTCCCCGCCCCACCAAGGGCTTACTTACGCTCTGTCTGTGGCCAACAGCTGTCTGCCCCACAACACGGAGCAGTCCGGACCTGGGCCGGGGCCGAGCAGTCTCTGGGAAGGTGTGTGCGTTGGACAGATCCCATTCTGAGATTGTGGGGTGGGGGCGCTGCCCGGGCCAGCAGAGGCAGACAGTGGCGGGCAGTGACGAGCGCTTACCTCCTCCTAACACGACCAGGGAGGTGCCTTTATCATGGCTTTCTGGGGCAAGACACAAGAAAGCGGCCAGGGCAGGGTTAGTGGGATAGCCCTGGGAAACAGCAGACCCAGACTCGATCGGCTCCTAAGTCAGTGTGTGAGCTCAGCAAAGTCCTGGGAGCCGGGACCTAGAACCAGAAGGGCACCCGGACTCCACGTGGCCCAACCCTCTCATTTTACAGATTAGAAAACAGGTCATGGGACTTGACCCAGGTCACATAGTTGGGAGCAAGCATCAGAGAAGGATCTGAGCCCAGGTCCTCTGACTCCGGGGGCAACGTCTGTCCAGTTGTGCCCCTCACCACCTCCCTGCGCCTGCTCCCAGACTGTTAAGACTAGGCGTTTCCCGGTGCCCCTTTAAACTAGGCTGCGTTACTCAGTGAACTCCAGAGGCTCCCATCCCCTCCAAGACCCTATATATGCAATCCCGTCTGGGGGTTCAAAGCCCTTCTGAGCTTGGCAGCCCGCCCCCCTCGCTTCCCTGGCCGTCTCACCCCGCAGAGCCAGTGAGCAGGGACGCTGGTCTCCTGGCAGCTGCCGGCACCCAGCCCTCCACCTCTGCCTCTGACAATCTTGTCTGACCATCCCCATGCCTGGAATTCTCTCCTTCCTCATCTCCACTCACAGATGTCCTGGCTCCCTTCAAATCCCGGCTAACATCCCATCTTCCACAGGAAGCCCTTCCCGGCCCCCCTTAATGCCAGGGTCTCCCCTGGCTGGATCATCTCCTGTTTATCTTGTGTGTTGCTTGCTTGTACACAGTTGCTTGCATGATGTCCACACACACACACACACACACACACACACACACACATATACACACATGCCTGTGAAAGCAGGGACTGTCTTTTTTCTTTCTTAGCATCCCCAGGGTTATTAGTCGGTGCTTAATAAATGCTTTTGACTGACAGGCCCAGGGACACTTCCCAGAAGAGGATAATTAGGAGGATAAGTGCTTTGAGATCACACCATACAATGGCGGTTGAAGGAGCTGGGAATGCCTATTCTGGGGAGGGAAGGAGAGAGTCTCTGAATGGATTCCAGAACCTGGCCCGGTTTGGGAGATCAGAACTCTATTCCAATCCCCTCCATTCCCAGAGGAGGGGCTCTCCCAAAGCCACCCATATGCCCCGTGTCAGAGGAGGGGCACGGGCCCAGGTTCTGGCTCCAAAGTTGTGTTTTTTTGGCCCCAAGGGGCTCATGAGGAGTGATGGGAGGAACCCAAAAGGTCTTCCAGCGAGGGTCTGTCCACCCGCGGGAGGGGGCAGAGATGGGGGTTTGGTCGGGCCCCTGGCCCCCCGGCCCCCCGCTCTGGGCATCGGTGCTTCTGTGACCCTGGACCGCTTCCCTCCTTGGGAAGACTGACCGGATGAAAATGAAAATCAGTCATTCCCGCTGATTGCACCAATGGCGTCGTCCACTGGAGGGCACTGCATCCCCCCATATGGCCGCACAATGAAAGCGTTAGGCTGGGCTTGTTAGCACAAAGCATTTTAGATTTATTTAAATAAAAATTATAATTTATACAAGACTTTTTCTTTAAACAAACAAGGTTTTCTTAAAAAATGTCACAGGGCAATTTTGTTTTCATCAGTTCTTTATACAATTGTTTTGTTGAACAAAAGTGACTCTGGGAACGGTTATTTACAAGTCCAGAAGAGCCTACGACTTACGACGTGAAAACTGAGCGTCCGACCTTCTCAGTGCCTTGCCAGAGAAACGCGGCGCCTGCCCCGACTCCCCCAGGTCAGCGACAGCGGCAGCGACGAGGCTCCGCTCCTCCGGCATGCCAGAAGCCATCCACAGCCCCCCCTTTGCTCATGGTCTGCATGGACGTGGACAGGAGGTTTGCACTGGCTGATTGTGCCGTGGGGACGAGTCGCCCTCCAGAGTCAGCCGGCTTCCCTACCAACAGGGCAGAAACCCAGGAAGAGAAAAGAGGCAGCTTCATGGGCACTGAATGCCAAAGCCAATTCACTGGACATCAGCGTGGTCAGTTTTCATCTCCCTTGCTTCTTAGAAGGAATTCCAACTCAACCACCCACTTCTCCTCAAGGAGCTGAATCCCATTCTGCCAGACGGCTCAGTAGCCGGCCCCACCAAGTGAGGACATTATGAGGGTCGACAACCCACATACCGTGGCCAATGGTCACGTCCGTCTCTGGCTGTTGGAGGAAAGGAACCCCCTTAAGGGAACCGAGGTCACCCACTATTTCCTTCAATACCCTGCCAAAGCCAGTGGGAAGAGATCTGGGGGGAGGTAACATGCCGGTGTCTCAGTCATGCGGCCCACCCACCATCCCAAGCCCTTCGACTTCCAGATGCATCTGCGATGAGGGTCAGGGGTCAGAAATTTAGGCTGGAAGAGTGTGGAGAGAAGGAAAGGGGTTCACTGCAGGTCATAAGGCCAGCAAGAAGCAGAGCTGGGATTCTTAGCCCCAAGTACAGAGGAATGACCGCTGGATGGGTGAGGCTGTGAACACATCCAGCCTCTGGCACTGACAGACTTTGTGTATGAATTTAGGTCGTCGGTCACTAGTGACCACGGGCATTTCTGTCTGGCGCGTCATCGGGCGGGGTGATCAGCAGCGCCGACGAGCCCTGTTCTGAATTGGTGAGTTCTTGCTACCCTAATCTGGCAGCCGACCAAGCCCGGGGGAGCCTTGGTGCGCCGTGCACATACTGTGTCCCACGAACCGGCTTTTGCCGCAGAAACCAACCAGACTCTGGCTCTTTTCCTTTCCCATCCCCCAGGGGTGACGGCGACGCCACAGAGGATCAGAGGGGCTGGGAAAGGGGGGGAAGGAGGGCTGCTTCCCAATTTCTTCTCTAAACCAGCAAATTATGATCAGAGCAAAGGTAAAAATTCCATCTGAAAATGATACAAAAATAAGAAAAAACAGCTTGCTCTCTGTAAAAAATAGAATCTGTTTCTTCAAAAAACGACTCTCACAAACATCCAGGGGACACAGGACAAGCTGGACAGGCTGGGGTCCGGGCCAGAGGCAGGGCAGAACGTGACTCGAACGGTGTTTCTGGGTCTGTCGTTTTCCACAACGCCCTCCACATGGAAGGGCAGGAAGGTGACTTCCAAAGGACGTTTTGTGCTTTTCCTCACTTGGAGCAGAGGACTGGCATGCATCCTTGTGTTCTAAGGCATTCCGACTGGCTTTGGGGTCTGGTTAAGGAAAAGCAAACAAGCCAGGACCGCACCTACCGAGAGGGAAGCTTCTCAGCGGCCAGACAAGGTCTTCACCCACTAAAGGTGTGTCCTGGCCCTCTCTCCACCCCTACTCTCTTGTCCTGTGCAAACACATTTCCCCTTGAATGTGTATGAGGAAGAGGGCTCAAGGTGGGGGGGGGCAGGCCAAGGGGACGCCAGCTCTAGCGGGCATCAGTCACTGGGCCTAATCACACACTAGTCAAACACTGCAAACGTGAGCTAGGAACACTGTCAAAGTGAGAGGGCTCTACCCAACGAACTGCACTCAAACAGTGGGTGTGCCCTGGGGGCCTCGACTGGCAGGACGGGTGCGCCAATGGGTGGATCTGGAGAAGCCCCAGAGAGCTCCGGTGGTCTCGGAGCCAAGCTGTCGTCAGACTAATTTTAACTATCCTATACTAACTACCAAGCACTTTCAATGTTGCCATAGGAACCAGGGAGCCCAGAAGGCCCGTCTGTCCCTCCGTGGCTTCTTCTGATGGGGCATTGACAGAGGGGGGGCTGGGGCACGGGGATGATTCCCGAGGGACTCCTGAATCCCAGTTCCATTGGTCCCGTCCTCAAGCCAGGCTTCCTGGGGCTCCCCAGCACAGGCACCGAAGAGAAGGCCAACATGGAGCTGGGCTGAGGGGGAATGAGGAGACAGCATGGGGCCAGAGGAAGGGGTGCTCTTCAGGGGACTTCCACGAGATGCCCCTTTAGGGCATCAATGCACAGGAGGAGGAGGCAGCCTCAGCCAAGTCAGGAGGAAATGCTCCTGCGTCTCCTGGACTGGACCCCCCAGTGATGACGCGTCAAGTGGCATTTCAGACTTGTCCCTGACCCAATTCTCCTCCTCCATCAATCTCTGCGGACAACCCAAAATGATCTGTATTTCACAACTATGGCCCGAACTGGTGGAAGGGGGCTTTCAGCATCACGGGCACTGGCCCCCAAGGTGTGCCGAGGACTGAAGACCAAGGACCGGGCCATCAGGCCTCCAGTGCTGTCTTTCAGCTACTCTGTGCAAGTGGAACGTGACAGACCACGTGTGGTGACTGAGACAACATGTCCCATTCTTCCAGAGGGCACCAGGACCCCCTGCCCCATTCATCCAGAGGGCGCCAGGACCCCCTGCCCCATTCATCCAGAGGATGCCA